ATAGTCATCTAATTTTATATTTATTTTTCTAAATCTTGTTGTTTTGTAAAAAAAAAGAATGATTTTAAGAAAAAAATCATTAGTATGTTTATCAATATAATTTTGTTCTATTATTTTTAGTGTTGAAATACTTGTTATTGACTAAATATTTAAAATTATATTCAATATCTATATTCAATACCTATACTTAGTTGCTATTAGTGGATAGTAATAGTAGACTTTTATATAGTTTATTTAATAATTTTTTTATGTTATTTATTTAGTTTTTACATCCAAAATTTCTTTTTAAGCAGATTAGATTTATATAAATATATATTTATATATATTTTAAAATAAATATTATATATATATATATATATATATATATATATATATATATATTTTGAAGCTGTTGTGATTCAAATAATATTACTCTCTACCAACAAAGTTGTCTCTACACCAACTACTACTTCCTTGCCAATAGATTTGCTCCTAATCCAACTATTGCTTCTTTGCAAGCAAATCTATTCCTATGTCAATAACTATTTTTCCACTAATAGATCTACCTACATGCCAATTACTACTTCTTTCTCAATAGATCTGCCTTTATACCAACTATTACTTTTTTTCTATGAAATCCGCTTCTATACCAACTATTGCTTCTTTGCTAGTAAATTTGCCACTTTGCTATCAATTTTTGTACTAGTAGTGCTGTCTTTGCTGATAGTTACTAATTTTTTTTGAAAAATATCATTTAATGTATATCATCTAATGGATCTAATCTTAAAATAGATATTGACATAAAACTTTGTATTTTATATTTTGATAAATAATTTTATTTTTTTTGTTACAAATATTATTGTTTATAATTATTTAACTACCAACAACTTACTAAAAGCCTTATTTTCCTCATCTAGGGTGAAAACTACAAATCTTTGATACTTTTGCATAGATTACAAAGTACTCTAATAAGTCACAACTCTACAATAAGATTACAACAACAAGATCATAAAATATTATAGATTGAAGTAGTAGTAAGAAAATACACAAATAATATTTTAAAAAATTTCATATCAAAAAAAATAAAAAATATAAAAAATTCTAAGTGATATTGTCTTTAGAATTAGAATTTTAATTGTACCGCAAAGAATTTGACTTGAGCAAATCCAATAGAGGAAAAAAACAACTATCTTTCAACTTTGTTATATGCAAATCTCTTCCATCTCAAATCAAAAACTTATCAACTGCATCTTTTAACTCTTAATTAGCCACATCAATTAGATCTCCTTATTTATCATTAAATATACAATCATTGACTAAGATATGCCATACAACAAAAAAACTATTGCCCAGCAAGATCTTCACACTAATTTTTATTAATTCACTTACAAACTAATCAATGTCTCTTAGGTAGGATAAAATATCTTATGACAAAGAAGAATAAGATAGAAAACAAAATAATTGCAAAATGAACAGAAGAGAAGTAATTATATATTTATTTCAAATTGTGACTAAGAAGGGATATTGGAAATATTCATCTAACATTAATTCTATCAAGGTAAGGATTAGTCGGTAGTACCAACATCTATCTAATAGTTGGAATTTTTATTTGGTAATTAGGATTTCATCCACTTAATAGGATTTTATCCTTGTCAAATAAATAAATAGATCTAATTCCTATATCATCTAGCTTACACCTATTTAGGTGAATGTATCCTTTATTATACTTAATGTAAATATATATAAAAGAAGATAGATCTCAAGTTATATATTTACAATTCTTAATGTCTATGTTAATGTTCTAGTGCATGAATTAACATCAAACATATCTTTTGTATATTTAAACTACTCAAAGACAATGTTGAGTGTATACACAAATATATGTTTTATAATATTTGTGAAAAAAAGAATGGTATATTTACAACAAATACGAGTTATTTTAAAACTTTCTTGTCTATTCATATTTCTTATATTTTTAAAAAATTAAGATAAATAAATTTATATTTCTTCTAAATATTTAATAGAAACTTTTAAATATAATTTGAAAGGTGAATGTTGACCCTCAACTTGAAATATGGTTATACTTCCAAAATAAAGATAATAATTTATCCAATCTTTATTAAAATATATTTTTTTAGTATCCATGTATTTTACAAATATTTAAGAATTACATGAACATTGGTGGGAGTATACTTATAGAAAAGAGAGTGCCATAGAAGAAGCATTTATCAAGGTTGGTCCAATTTGCCATAAATATAGACCAACTTGCTTCTATCTTTGTAGCAAAATACTTCTTGTAATTTGCCAAGATATCTTTTTGAATGTATCATATGCAAAGTAAAACATTAGAAATAGAAAAAATATTTTCAATAGCATTTATTAATGCAAAATTTCAATTAGATTCAATATAGATGGTTTGAATATTTCCATTTAATTGGATAAATTGGATCAAAGTTCAACAAAATAAATAATTATGTTTTTTCTTAAAAAAAAGTAATAATAATTGTAAAAGATGTATTAAAATTAGATATTTCTATTATGTAGAAAATAGGAATTTTAAATTAATTTATCTTATAAATACAATCTATAATAATAGAATAGGTATATTTTTTTTGCTAATTCAGCATATTTTATATGTGCAAAAAAAGAGATGTTACCTTGTTCTATTCATTATATTAATAAATAAACTGATATGTTTTATTGCACAAGGTTTTCAAAAGTGAAACAATAGGAATACAACTATGAAGAGCAATTTGATATAGTCTTTGATGCTCATCATAAATAATATGTACAATAATTCAACTTCTAAGATTTCTCTCATGTAGTGCATTCACAATGTTTTTTGGTGGTACTTCTACTACAAACATTTGAACTATCATTTTCTTCTTTGCTAGTTGAATTTCTCGTGCAATTAAATGTTCTATCAGAGATGATAAAGGGACAAGGTTGTACTCACCATTTTGTTCTATTAAGTACCATTGTGTAGTATCTTGGATACACTATGCACGCAATACAAATAAATACTCAATCAATTAACTTACAGTATTTTGCTGATATAAAAAATCAATTTGCTCAATATAAATTTGTCTGCTATCATAATTAAAATCAATGCAATCTTTGTCAAACTAGTACTTACAAAAAATATAACTATAAATATAGGCAAATTCATCTATACTCTCTTTTATGACTTTAAAAGAATTAAAAATTTCTTCAAATGAAAGAAACACATATAAGACAAAATCCATTACAAAATCCAAATAGTCTAAAAGTAAACCTTATTTTTTTATCTTTGAACACTCAAAATAATATCAAACATATTACAATAGAATAATGCAAAGTGAGCAACAAACTAACTTAACATATAAAAAAATTTACTTGTGGCAATGTAGAATAAAGAGAAGACACCATTATATATAAATATTGATAATCAATTATTTTTACAATTATATGACCATTATTGAATCAATTCTATTTTCAAAAAACCATTATTGTATCAATCCAAATAGGAATCAAAGTAATGATAATACAAATAAGATCAACATTCTATGTGCTTAGTAATGATGGATGATTAATTTAATATAATCTTTGGTCATTTTAACATTTTCTTATATATATATATATATAAAAAAATATATATATATATATATTTTTTAAAATATAAATATATTAATGATGGTAAGTGATATATTGGATCTATGAATAAGTAATATTATTATATAATTAATTTTTACCAAGGCTTTCTAATGTAGAAAATTTCACTAAATTATATTATAATGTAAAAAAAATTAATCTAGGACAACAATAAGTAGTTATTGGACTTTAAATGCCATTCTTATTTAGCTTTAGCATAAATAAGAATTAAAATCTTCTTTCATATCTTTTATTTGTATCATATATAAGAAAATTTGTACATTATATTACATAATATAAGTCAAACAAGCCAACATTTTGTATTAAATGAATATACTTGTGAATGTCACAAAATGTTGAATACAAATAGAATATTTTATTGAATTTCAATCAATTTAGATGGTAATATGAAAAATTAGATTTTTATCATAAATAAGTTAAAAAACTACACAAATAAAGAATTGATTGGATTTTACTTTTGTTATTGCATAGTGTATAGAATATGGTAGTATATGAAAATTATCAAATTTTAGTAGTAGTAATCAATTTGATTATATTTAAAAATAATATATGTATATATCTATATATATTTATTTTATAAAATAAGAATAAAAGTTATATTTTAATAATTTAAAAAATTATCCAAAATAATTTGTCAAAATTTTTATACAATTAAAAATTAATATGACTTAAAAAAAAATAAAGTAGCATAATTCTTTTAAAGATGCTTAACTTTATAATATTTAATTTTTACAATATACCAAAAATAATTATATAGCTTGGAATGTTTATACAGTAAGTAAAAAAAATCATTTTAGAAGACATAATTTATTAATATAATAATAGGTATATTATAGAGAAAGCAAGATAAAAACTCATAAAATAATATTTAATATGTGAAATAAGTGTTTTTATTCACAATTCCAAAAGACATCACCTTCTATACTATAATTTTTTAAAAATATTAAAATTTAAAATAAAAAATAGAATCTTATTGTTAATGACTTTAGCATACTTATGGATTAATAGGGTAGTCATTGTCATATGTTGAAAGTTCTTGTAAAACAATATGTTGAATACATAATATTAATGAAATAACCTGTAACACTCTTCTTTTGATCATATGAATTTGTCATTCTACATATATAACCAAAATCTAAAATATTATTGGAAAAAATCATTATTTACAAACAAAACTTGATTTTAAAAAAGTTTTGGTTCACAATCTTCTCAAGGACAAATGAACGAGATCTGCACAGTTCTAACTATTCAACATCAAAGTTGCCATCTTCTTCTACATTTGCTGAAATTTTGGTATATGTATGAAATCATTATTTACACTTCGATGTATTAAGTAAATTCCAAAAACAAAAAAAAAAAAATCAATAATAATAATAATAAAATGTAACATGCAAAAATCTAAAATACAATGATAGCCGAAAAGCCAGTAGTAACAGACATCATTATCTCGTAATTGGCAATATCATGATTCATCTGGGTACCGAAACTAAAGCTGGTGTGCTTTTCTCTATTGAGACCCTTTGGTCTTATGCATACACAAGCGGAGATCTTGTGATTGTGTCCTCCCTTCTACATTTATTTCTGGGCATCTTAATGGAAAGGACATCCAGCAGGACATAGAATACCTAGCACGCTTTATGACAAGGGTTTCAATGCCGAATTTTGAAGGAGAAAGTGTAGAAAACGCTGAAGACAGCGTCGAGTTTGCGAAGACTTGATGCCTTGCTTTGCTTCTGTTATGTTTTCTTTTTTTCTTTTTTATTGTGAATGACAAGAATGACGCTCTTGCTGAGCCTCCAACAATGATGCTAAACTCTGAAGCTGTTTGTACACATATGTACCGATCATTTCAACAAGTCTGCATTCCGGTGCTGATAAGCGATACGGTTTAGTTAACCTGTCGGCAATTAGTGCGAATCTGACCGGCGTTGCCAGTGAGGACATTGTACCGAGCCATCACCACCATAGCCCTTCCGAAATTGCCACCGAAATCAGGTCCGTTATTGGCCAAAACCGCGTCACTGGTGGCTTTGTCGTCCATTAGACGTTGATCAGAAGCAAGCAACCCCCTGCCCTTGACAATGTTGTTAAAGTATTGGGAGTCGAAGGTGTCTGGGGTGACCTCGTCTACATTGAGTTCCGGGGTGGCAGCTGCATTAGGACACTCCGTCTTTAACGTTGCTTGCATGTCGGATGGGAGGGTAGGATCGGATCCTGTATCGCTGCTGGGATAATCGTAGAGACGATCCGTGACGTATTGGCAGTGAGCTATACCGATGGAGTGACCCCCTGACAACGCGACCATGTGGGCGGCGTTCAGATTCTTCTCCGCGAAATTAGCTAGAAGCTCCGAGACGGTGTCGGTTTGGAGAGGCAGCCCTAGAGGGGGATCTACATAGCTTGATACGAGTGAGTCTCTCCTTCCACCGGATACATCCCAGCCTTCGCCTCCAGTCTGCGATTGCAACAACAGATTTTGAAAGCCTTTCATCAGCGACGATATCAACAATATGGGGCTTCTGAACCTAATATGAAGTGTACATAGCAAGCTCCTAGTCACGGTTCCTTGCAATCCTCTCTAACTATATTGCAACTTCTCCCGCTGAGGATTGAGTAGCTCTGTATGACGACTTGCAAGAATTAACTAATTTGCCACCATTTTCACGAATTGCTGATCCATGAGTTGTTGTCAGAGTGACTAGAAGGTGGGAATCGGTCTTCACAACAGAGACAGTCTGACTCCTGCGTTAACTCCTCCCCCTTCAGACGCTTAATAACAAGCTTGTCAACGTGACAAGCGCACAAAGTGGAGAGACTAGCACTAACGTACCAGCGTCACACTGTCACGAGCTGCGAACTGCAATATGTCGGCGCATGAAACAGTGTTCGGGCATGCCGCTTCCACTGCCGCTTTTGCCGCATCGATGGCTTCAAACCCATGTAGATTCACGTTGATTGCCGCCGTCTTCTCCGCTTCTTCTCCGTCCAACAGCACTGAAGCATCACATCCCTGAAACCAAACTCAAATGTTAAGAACAGAGGCACCCCACATTCTGCCTGTTCCGACAAAATTCATTGAATTTGTCAGCTGTCCGCACAGAATCACGAGGTCTAATTCCGAAGTTTTGCAACCTGTTCAGCTATTCAAAGCTCACAGTAGCTTATATTTCACAGAAGGACACAGATTACGGATTTGAAAATAAAAATAAAAATAAAAAACTATATGGCTCCATTGTAACTCACACGAACGAAGCAATCATGGAATGACAGACGCAATACGCCGGGCGCAACTGTTGGATCCTGATTGTACGAGTTCCGCATTGATTCCCAGATTATTGCTTCAACCGTTGGGCAGGAGTTCTCGTAAAACCCGACTGTAAGGCCTTGAGCCTCAGCTTGGCTGCTTAAGCACACAAATACGAAGGCTATTGTGAGCAATGCAGTTGCCAAACCCCGCCGATGATTCGGCATCCTCTTGGATGGATTTACCTCCGACATTCAAAGTCAGTTTTGTTGTCCACGATCTCCAAGCGAAACTAATCGATGTGTGAAACTCGCCGAAAGAGTCGGAGGGGTTGTTGCAGATTTGTTGCTGAACGAGTTCAGAGGGCTCTTGTTCCCTGTAATTGTCCACCCTTTCCAGTCCTGTGTATCCTTCTCCACCTAAAGCCTCACAAGCGCTAGTTCAGAAGAGCGCTACACACAACCTCACTTTAAATACCTGGTACAAATTGCACTCTTGGAATCCGATGCGGCCTCCTGCTCGAGATCGCGTCGAGCGACTCCCGCGTAGCGAGGGATGACTTCAAAGTTTGGGGTGGGTAGTTTTACCGCGTTTGAAGTCGGAAACTTGTCTTCCTGGTTGAATGTCTTCGCCTTGTAAGACTAGTTTAATCAATATCAATTTCGTTGTGTAAAGTTTCATATTTTATGCAAAGTGTGGTCTTTTCCCTGTTTCCAAAGCGCTTACGAAGTGGGTGTTGTTAAGGGGGCTGAGTAGGCAGGATATGATTGTTGGTCGCAGGACCATATACACACTATGAACTTGCTGTGGATCACACATGCTTAGCTGTAGGCATGTATGGCTCCGAATTCGAATAATATCCAATTTAGTTCAGCACATTGAACTTGGTGTGGCCAGCACGCAAGAGTGTCGAACAGATCAGAGGACCACCAACTTTTGCCGTTCGACTTAACTTCGACACAAAAAAATTGCCTTTCTGAACTTTAAGGGAATGATTCTGTTTCATTCTGCTGATTTGTGGTACCTTCGATTTCAGCATGTTGTGCAGTTCACCTTAGCTAACAACATTACGTCATACTTTTCCAGTAAAATAACACCCTGCAGACTCTTTTTGCTCTCGAATAGATAATAGAATCTGAGGTCAAAAAGCACAAGCACGCGCCTTCATGGTCAAGTCCAATTGTCCGCAGCGTCGCCAGTCATTGGACGCTCCTGCAGGATGTTTGAAGACTTTCATGAACGATGACCCCACCGCTTTCGAGTCGACCATACAAGCACCCCAACATGCCCCGCTCTAATCAAAATAACATTCATAACATATGTATGAGCTAGTTCCTTCAATCTCGAGCCATGTCTGATTGCCCAACTTTCATGACATGAGTGCCACAGGTTTGATAGTCTGTTTAATGATGCTGCAAAGACATTCCCACAAAACACATTCGTTTCAAATCAAGCACTTACCACCACCGATTTTGAGGCTAATCTGATCCATCGCAACTGTTTTATTGCACACTTGATTTCATTACATAAGGTAGGGACTCCCTTGACCAAGTGATCATTATTGGGGACCCACATCTGAGTCGTACTCTTCATGCAAAACTGACGTGCCCCTCAAATCACCTCAGGTCTGCAATCCATACTTTAAATAATGCACCACTCAGACAGAGCGGGGCCTGTGTTTTAGATGTTGGCCCTGATTCGTGAGTTTGAAATCGTTCCTAAAAGAGTAGACGCACACTGAAAATCACTCAGATAGTTAATAGATCCTGGAATCCATTGACTCGAGGCAGTAGAGACACGATGCAGTCGCTTGTTGTAGAATTATTGAGAGTGTCTAAAACACCCAGAGGCTTCATGCTAGCAGTACCTTTTAGTTCGTCGTTTTTGTGCCATGGGCACATGTACAGTGAACAGTGCAACCTAGTCAGTACCTTTACCACTGTTTCTCGCATGAAAATAATCATTGAATTTCCAGTGTGGGAGAATAACTTTTGAATACCAGTCTAAATTTTAAGCAAGTATGCACTGCATTGTTGGGACTCGCAAGTTTCACATCAATCATTCATAGACACTCCGTTTCATGTGGAAACATCTGGTAACGGAAGTTTGGCAAACAGGACAGCTCATCCTTTAGTTATTACAAAATGCTTGTGTAGGAATTTTACTACTCTTCTACCTGCCAGCGCTTTCGATTTGAATGTGCGAAGGGCAACGGACAGGCATGACGAGAGGTAAAGAAGTAATGACTTTTGTGAGCAGACGTGTTGGCCAATAGGTGACATATTATTTCCAGGATACTTGCGTGTTGCTTTTGCATCTTCGTGTTTAATAAATAACATCCTCTTCTACCTGCCAGCGCTTTTCATCACAACGATGTCACCATGTCCTAAGGCGGCGTCGATAGTTACCTTCAGCAGCCTCTGCAACAGTGTGAGTGCACTCACCTTTTCCAGTACCGTCAAAATGTTCAGCGGGAACAGGTCAGACATCCAACTGGAACTGGCAGGTAAAAGAAATAGATGGAGTGAATCTGGTTAGATAGAGAAATTCCTCGACTCTCATTGCACTGGTAGATGCGAACTGTGAGCTACAAAACTCAATCCAGCGAATCTGGATGAATCGAAGGTTAGTGGAGGAATAGGAAGTGGGATGCTCCGAAAGCTTTTGATGATTTCACGAGCGTCGCCATTGACGACTCTCATGTTTTTCTAGGTATCGGAGAAGGATGCTTGTATGATATCAACCTACGTGCTGTGAAGTCGATAAGGTAGTGGCACATTAGTTGACGTTTGGTTAGTAGGGGAGGACCATGCGAGGACACGCGGAATGTGCGGTTTTTAAGTAGTTCCTAATCCCCGTGAGATGAATAATATACGGAGCCATTGGCAACTGCTCAAGGTTGCCACCAACTCCACACAATCAGCAAACCCAACAAGCCAAACCAAGCTCAACGCACTGCTCCACAACCCACCGCAAGGCACACAGACAAGAACGACTCTCCGCAAAAGAGGCAGATCCATGTGGAGCGCAATACAACGCTTCGCATCGCAGAGCGTGGACGGCCACACGGCGAGGTAATCCTCTTGAAGTGGGCTCCGCGATAAACATAGAGGGGAGCCCCAACCCTAACATCTCTGATAGATGCTCATCGGCACCTCGCAACCTGCATGGATGGATTTATTAATGGGATGAGAGTGGAAAAATGACCGAGCTGACTGTGTGGAAAAATGAATGTTTAGGGACGCCATCAGTGGTTAGTTTGTTTCATATATCCGTATTTAAAACGTTTTTTAAAATGCATTTAAAACATAGTGTTTTTTAGTTCCCAAGTATTTAAAACAGTTGGGAAAAGGGTTGCACTTTAGACTGCATTGTTGTCTTTGATAATTGCTTGATACAATATTATCATTATCAATTATCACGTGTTGCTTGAAGGATTCTATACATAATTTGTTCAATAAACCATGAGAAGTAGAATTGCATAGCATGAAGGTATGTCGATGTAGTTATTGCAATCATGGAGTGATTGCATCTGTTTGATAGAATGAAGAACCACCTTGATAGCCACTACAAGAAGAAACCGAAATCTATTGGATGGATGACAAAATATTCTTGGCCACCTTTATTACTATCTAATACCAACTTTATCAACATCAACTTAAGCATAATCAATCAATATCATTAAAAAAAAAGCATATAGAATTGAATCAACTTTAAGAATTCATTCATAAATAAGAATATAAAGATGTTCTTGGAGAGGTCAGGTTTATATTGCAACAACAGCAAAAAGTTGAGCTACTAATTGCAAAGGCAATCCATGAGAATAATCTCATGTTTAATTTCTTGCACGAAGTGGCAAGCAGCATAATATAAAGTAAGATCAAAATTGAAGTAGTCATGTATAGAAAAGATTAGTTGTATTATTAATTGACAATATAACTAATACAAAATGTTATTTAAGACATGAATTACAACAAAATTCTAAAAATGATGATATTCTTTTATATTATCAAAAGAGACAAAGTAGACAATTAAAAGATAGATAGAGAATTGAAATCAACATAGTTATTGTTAAAAACAAAAAGAATAAGAAAACTTAAATCAAAATAGAATAGAAACAAGGCAATGATAAAAATAAAGAAAGCCTTACTATTGCCTCCATACATATTATCTATTAGATAACTATAAAATAATGTCTTATAGGCCATATGACATGTATACAACTTAAGAGATATATTATTGAAGACAAGAATTCAAAGAATGTAAATAATCAACTGAGATGTTTTACAAATAAAGATGAGAATATATATATATATATATATATATATATATATTTGAAGAAACTAAGAAAATAATTGTCCAAAGATAAGAAAACTAGAGATTCTTAAAACAAGACTAAACACAAAAAAAGAGTTGAAAAAAATGAAGAAACTTCATTCTTACTTCTATGTATACTATCTAACTAATAGCTACATGATAATGTTCTATAGGACCCCCAATATGTGTTCAATTTACAAGACACATTGTCGTGATGTAATATGACTAATAAGTGAAAGAGTGTAAAAATTATTATAATATAGGAGATCTTAGTTCAAAGTATTAGAAAAAATTACCTTAGAAATATAGTTAATAGTCAAAAGGATATTAAAACTAAAAAATACCAATATTGCCTTTTATAAAATGGCCTTCTATTTACTTTGTTGGACCTTAAATAAGGCAAAATAAAGTAGATTAGAAAAATAAAGAATATGAGCATTTATAAGAAGAAATTAGGAGTTGATTTTAATAAAAATTAACTCAAAAAGACAAAATTTGATACCCGAAGAGGGCCGATTATCAACATGGGTCGAAATCAGACCTCAAGGTACAAAATTGATATCGTATTACCTGTTATCTTGCTTGAGAACACATCGGGCGTCTGGTTGTGGAAGATAAAACAATGTTTGCAAGTATCCAAGTACGCTAGTGGGTTTCAAACATCTAAATACAAACTATTTCGAATTTTAATATAAAAGCTTAATCTCAATACAAAGTACTTAGAAATACTATTTTTAATAACTTCAAGATATTATAAGTACAAAGTCTTTTATTATTTGTTATTTTTTATTTTTTATTTTATTTTATTTTATTTTATTATTTCATTTTTATTTTTATTTTATTTTATTTTATTTTTAACCCTAACTCTAGACAGTGAACTTCAGTATGTTGTAATTTTCAATCTGATAATCTGATTGTTATAAATTTCTACCACTAGTGTCTTTGCAAGCCTTCTAAATGTTCAAGAAGTTTCAATCCAATCTAACTTACAAGTTGCTTAAAAATATCGTTAATCCACACTGATATATCTTGACCGCCGCCTAGAAGTCCTCAACTTACCACGCCAAAAGTCACCTTACTCCAGCTGATAGATCTCTAGATATTACAAAAATCCTAAACAACCCCAATCTTCTAACTTTCGATACCTCTTTACACTAAAAGTCAAATATCCTCTAATTGTTTCGTCAGATTATGACAACTTTTTGCATGCACTTGGCATACTCAATTCTCTAGACACCTCTAAGTTTCAACTATAGAAGTTTCTCCAATTTCACAAAATAGTCAAGAATACCAGCCGTTACTTTATTGCAAAAAAAAAACCCAATTCACCAATAC